CATTATCTGCGTTACATCACTGATATCATGATCCAGCTGTCTCATCGCCTTAAACAGCAAAAATTAGTTTCTGCGAAGTTTTTCACTGTTTCACGAACAAGTCGTTTATCGGCTTTTCAGTCGGTGGGAAGCCTGGCCTTGGTCTACAGTAACAAGAATAATGATGAGGCGGTAACAAATACCAAAAATGTTTTAAAGTGGTTAAAGCCTTGCCAAGTGCTTCTGTCGGGAGAAAGTTGAGTTCGTATTCTCTTCACCACGTGAAATGGACGTCAGGATTGCCAGCAGAGTGACCAACAGGGGATGTAAAATTGGTCAACATAACTGGAAAGTTTGCCAGCAGTAAAAATGGGGGACCATCTTGTGATTGACAGCTGTTCCATGCATTCCAATTATCAGTTATCTTTTGGTTATTTCAAAAATTCTTGAGAAATTTTCCTCCATAACAGTGTAAGAAATAAAATCAAAATTTCAGCCTCATAGCTTTTCCGGTTGCCGATTCCCGCCAAAACTTTCGCGTGCTCATACGCGGACCTAGACGTGTATGAGGGTTGATACTGCGATCCTGCGCTGGCACTTGGTCCGGGAACCCACTCGCAAGATTTTGGTGCCGGAGCTTCTTAGGTGTCGAGTTGAAATACCCGGACACACAAACACACACACATGCACACACCGGGGTCGTCGCAATGTGTGTTTTCGCATATGCATACATGCAAAAACGCATAATCATACGTCAGAAATAGCTCTGCTGACCAATTCTTGTCTGAATTATTCGTGCTTAGTTTTAACTGCTGCTGTCCCTGATATCATAACATGTGTCATCCCGCACTATCTCTTCACGCCGTAACAATATGCTTGCCGAGATTTGATTTACAGTTTCCTTCAAACTGTACTAGAGTAGAAAGGTATATTGAAAGAGGAAGGAGAATCGAAGGGAAAATTCCGAAATAAGGATTAAAAAATTAGTAAACGTAGTAAAATTATTTTAATAAAATCTTTATAATGGTAAAAATTTTAGACTAAAGGATGTAGTGTTTGAAGTGCTCTTCTGCAAAACTGCTGCTTTAAACTGTACATCACAAAGTCTATTAAATATTAGTGCTCTTATTGGGCGGCACTCAGAAATTAATCGCAACTACAAGACACTAGGCTTCTCTATTCCGAACTGCATCTTTCAGCTAGTATAAATCATCTGGTCTTTTTAACATGGCAAAATGGGGTACTCTGCTGATGATTCCCACTCCATTTCGCATCGATCATGCTTTCTGTGTTTACAGGTCAGGGGTCAAACACGGACAGGCTACCAAGTACAGACTTGCTCATATGGGATATTTAAATGTTACTTCTGGGTATTTTCATTAATTATCATAATTCGACTAAGTTTCTCTCCACGGTGGGCCAGGGACGCCAAATCAAC